GCTAGTAACCAAGATCAACCATAATGTTAGTAACCAAGATCAACCATAATGTTAGTAACCAAGATCAACCATAATGTTATGCTAGTAACCAAGATCAACCATAATGTTATGCTAGTAACCAAGATCAACCATAATGTTAGTAACCAAGGTCAACCATAATGTTATGCTAGTAACCAAGATCAACCATAATGTTAGTAACCAAGATCAACCATAATGTTATGTTAGTAACCAAGATCAACCATAATGTTATGTTAGTAACCAAGATCAACCATAATGTTAGTAACCAAGATCAACCATAATGTTAGTAACCAAGATCAACCATAATGTTAGTAACCAAGATCAACCATAATGTTATGCTAGTAACCAAGATCAACCATAATGTTAGTAACCAAGGTCAACCATAATGTTATGCTAGTAACCAAGATCAACCATAATGTTAGTAACCAAGATCAACCATAATGTTATGCTAGTAACCAAGATCAACCATAATGTTAGTAACCAAGATCAACCATAATGTTAGTAACCAAGATCAACCATAATGTTAGTAACCAAGATCAACCATAATGTTAGTAACCAAGATCAACCATAATGTTAGTAACCAAGATCAACCATAATGTTAGTAACCAAGATCAACCATAATGTTAGTAACCAAGATCAACCATAATGTTAGTAACCAAGATCAACCATAATGTTAGTAACCAAGATCAACCATATGTTAGTAACCAAGATCAACCATAATGTTAGTAACCAAGATCAACCATAATGTTAGTAACCAAGATCAACCATAATGTTATGTTAGTAACTAAGCTGTATATTACTCTGTATTACTCCCCAAACTTTATTGCACTTTTACTCCCCATACACACAAAAATATACACATAAATTTGGTATGACCCACAAGGGTTTAGCGTTTTCGTATAATAATAATAATAATAATAATAATAATAATAATAATAATAATAATAATAATAATAATAATAATAATAATAATTGCACATAAAATACGTGCCATAGGAATAACTGGGAAGGTAGGATAATGGATATTTAGTTGGAAGTGGTTCACTGGTTTGGTCCCGGCCTGGGTCTTATCCATGTGGTTCAACACTGGCTCGCCAGGTGGGCCTGTCGTATCTTTTCTTTCTTGATGATTTGTCCAGTAGTCTTGCCTTGAGAAGGGATGTTTAACTTACTAATAAATAGAACCCAGAGCCAGAGAGTAATAGTAAAGAGAGTGAAGTGAGAGGTTGCTACAGTATTAAGTTGTTCCTTAAGGCTGGGTACTCACTCCCACTTATCTTCCTCATTCTCATATCTGACATAAACAGGGACAAAACCCATAGCACTGTATCATATTTGCAGAAACACTAGAATTAGTATGAGAGTGTCATCTAGAGAAGACACAGCGATGCTCCAAGCTGATATACACCAAGTCTTCCAGTGAACCACTGACAATGTGATGTTCAATGAGGACAAATTTCAGTTACTACGTTATGGTAAAACTGAGGAAATGAAAATAAGTTCAAAGGACAAGACGAATTTAAAACACTGAATAGAGTGGAAGTCTGATGTGAGAAACCTGGGAGTAATAATGTCAGAAGACCTCACTTTGTGAGACTTTTAAGCATTACAACAATGTTGTTATCGCTACTAGGAAGAAAATGATAAGATGAATAATGAGAACGTTCAAAACAAGAGATGCCAAGCCACTGATGATAGACTTCAAAACACTCGTTCTCACTTGGCTGGAATATTGTTGTGTACTAACGACCTCTTTCAAGGTGGAAGAAATTGCGGAACTGGAGAATGCACAGAGAACCTTCACTGCAAGTATAAACTCAAAAAAGCTTCTGAATTACTTGGAGAACTTGAAGTTCCTTGATCTATACTTCTTCTAACGTAAGAAATGATACATCGTAATATACACCTGAAAGATTCTGGAGGAATTACCCCCCCCAAGCCTTCACAACTTAGGAAAGCACGAGGCTTGACAGACGATGCAAAACACCGCTAGTATAAAGAGAGGCGAGGTAAGTGTAATGAGTTAACTCAAGTGTAGGGAAACCACGACTCTTCAACGTCATCCTGTCGTGCATAAGGGGGAATTACCAACAAATCTCGGCATGATTTAAGAGAAATTGGATAAGTTGCTCAAGTCAGCTCCTGATCAGCCGAGTTGTGTTATATATGTTGGACTGCGGGCGGCCAACACTAACAGTGATGCATCAGGCCAACAACCAGGAGACCTGGTCTAGAACCGGGCCGCGGGGGCGGTGACCCCGGAAGCCACTACAGATCACCTGTGTGTGTGTATGTGTATATAATATATATATATATATATAATATATATATATATATATATATATATATATATATATATACATACGTATATAATATGTAAGAATTACTTTTAAAAAATGCTTTGAAATACTCACAAGAAAGTGTATCTAACAGCTCCATCCCCGTTGTCTGGTGGTTCACTTGTGTTCTGGGTTCCTCTGTGTTCACTTCACGAATTCTAAACACCGGAATTTAATTAACGTTCACCAGAAATCTACTCGTCTCCGCCGGAAATTCACTCGCCTTCACCGGAAGTTCACTCGCGTGAGTGTTCACTCTATGAATTCTTTGCCACTCACGAATTCTTTTAGTCCTTTTAATCAAATTACTTATGATTACGCACTCTTGCTGTAATAAAAGAGTGCCTCATACACGACCTCAGAGTCGTTATGTAGACGAGGGTATTTAGCGAGAAATTGTGAGTGAGAGAATGTGGTACAGTGTGACCTGAGGTAAGGTTAGGTTAGACTAGGGCAGATTAGGTTGGAGTAGATTACGTTAGGTTAGGTTAGGTTAGGTTAGGGTCACTTGTGGTCAAGATTAAGCTGCGTTCTCTTTTTTTTTGCATACGGCAGAACGACAAAGCTAACAGCAGCTGCACAGCAGAACGACAAAGTTAACAGCAGCTGCACAACAGAACGACAAAGTTAACAGCAGCTGCACAGCAGAACGACAAAGTTAACAGCAGCTGCACAACAGAACGACAAAATTAACCGCAGCTGCACAGCAGAACGACAAAGTTAACAGCAGCTGCACAGTAGAACGATGAGGTTAATAGCAGCTACACAGAACGACGAGGTTAACAGCAGCTGCACAGCACATAAACAGCAAGAGTGGAACTAGGAGGTGAGATGTTGACAGCTGCGAGGTGATGTGTGTTGATGCTAGCTCTGTCTACCACTGTTGTGTCTGACCATCAGTTGACCTTTGACCTACCTCTTGTAGTGAACCTCTCCCCCTTCCTCCCCAACCAGGCCCCTCCTTTCCACAGCCAGGCCCCCACCCTACATCTCCCCTTCCACAATCAGGCCCCCTTTCATCTCCCCTTCCACAACGAGACCCATCCTTCACCCCTTCCTTCTAGCACGCCATCCTTCACCTCTACCTTCTAACACACCATCCTTCACCCCTTCCTTCTAGCACACCATCCTTCACCTCTACCTTCTAACACACCATCCTTCACCCCTTCCTTCTAACACACCATCCTTCACCCCTACCTTCTAACACACCATCCTTCACCTCTACCTTCTAACACACCATCCTTCACCCCTTCCTTCTAACACACCATCCTTCACCCCTACCTTCTAACACACCATCCTTCGCCTCTACCTTCTAACACACCATCCTTCACCCCTGCCTTCTAACACACCATCCTTCACCCCTACCTTCTAACACACCATCCTTCGCCTCTACCTTCTAACACACCATCCTTCACCCCTGCCTTCTAACACACCATCCTTCACCTCCTAACACACCATCCTTCACCCCTACCTTCTAACATACCATCCTTCACCCCTACCTCCTAACACACCATCCTTCACCTCTACCTTCTAACACACCATCCTTTATCCTTTCTCCTTTTCTTCATAGGTTTCACCATCCTTTCTCCCACTTCATCTCACCTGTTTTCCTCTTCCCTCCCTCCCT